ATAGCTGTAAGGACATTTGGAGTTATAGTGCAGCCAACGTTGGCTAGTGTAAAATTTATATTTAATTTCCTGCAAGTGTGGTTGGTAAGGTTATCAGACAGCCAAAATGACCTCTAAAAAGTGCAAGGGGGGCAAAAAAAGGAAAACAGCTTGCTAAACACAAGGCCACCCCACATTCACTGTTGGCAATTTCTTCATCTAATGAGGAGGACTGGCCAGACTATAGGTCTGTGTGAGAGAAGCTTAGCATGCCAGGGATTCCTCTGTAATCCGGAGATCATGTAGAGCAGTGGTCCCCAACCTTGGGCCTCCAGATGTTCTTAGACTACAGCTCTCAGAAGCCTTCACCACCACCTCTGCTGGCCAGGATTTCTGGGAGTTGAAGTCCAAGAACATCTGGAGGCCCAAGGTTGGAGACCACTGATGTAGAGAATCCAAGGCTCATAAATAAGCAGAACTTGGGGGGCATTATGTTATCCCACATTGCTATTCTAGAAGGCCTAGACCTTCTGGAGCCTCTTCAGCTGCAATCACTCCAGTGAGGTGACAAAGTGTATCTCAGGCAGCAACCCCAAGTCAAGGCAAACTTCAGATGATATCAACGTGTACACAGACCTAGGAGGACAAGGCTGGTGGTAGAAATAGTGTCAACCAGCGTGCACAGAAGGAGGAAGGTCCTGCCAGCATGCTGGCAGTGTCATCTGTGGGGACTCAGTCAGGTGAGGCTATCATTGCACTGGATATAACAGCCTGCGAACACTTGGCTGTGGGGCACCGGGAGCCATACGGTGCCGGTCCTTTTGGCCTTGCTTTTGCTGGCAACACAAACGGGCTCAGTTGGTGTCGGGCAGCTTTGGCTGCACAACCCCATGATCAGTGGCTATTTCCCAGAATGTGGCAGGCGGACCAACCAGACTGGCTGCTCAAACAGCTGTTCCTGATACCGGGTTTAACTCAGTTGCATGGGGTGCTTTGCCAGAAGGTGATAAGTCGCTACCACTGGGCAATCACCTTCTGTTTGCCACAGTGGAAAAATTTGAAGAGGTAAATACGTGGATGTATTCAAGCTCCTGAATAGAAGATTGGGGATAAGAAGAAGAATAAGGAGGAGGAGAGAGACAGGGAAAAGGTGAGACGTTGTAAACCAGACCATTGTTGGTCAAACTGGTTGCCTGGTTTTTATATATATAGTATATCACAAAAGTAAGTACACCCCCCTCACATTTCATAAATATTTTAGTATATCTTTTCATGTAAAAACATTGAAGAAATGATACTTGGCTACAATGTAAAGCAGGGAGTATACAGCTTGTATAACAGGTAAATGTGCTGTCCCCTCAAAATAAGGCAACACACAGCCATTAATGTCTAAACCGCTGGCAACAAAAGTGAGTACACCCCTAAGTGACAATGTCCAAATTTGGCACAAAGTGTGCCCAAAGTGTGCCCAGCTGAATCCTCAAGTAATTGTTCTCCTTCTTGGAGTTTCCAGCCATCAAGACAAATCTCAGGAAGAGCAGCACAGGAAGAGGACTAATTTGGCTTTGGTGTGATATGGCTTGAAATCCTTGATCCTCATCTCTGCTCATTTCCTGTTGGTGTCAAGATGTAAGGACTCACCATGATGATGTTGTCATATGTGTTCTCCTTTGGCAGCATCAGCACACCAAGAATCCAGAAGTAATCCACTATAAATCCAGGAAAGAAATGGGAAGAAAACTGCCAAGTATTTGCTTCTACACCCATGGTATCGTTTGGAGCATGGGCCTGGAGACAAGGTGCACAACCATCCCCCAGGGCTTCTTGCCATACACAACTCTCCATGCAAGCCCTTCCCTTGGTATAATGATGATACATGGTTTTCTAGTGAAAGCAAACTCAGTAAGTGTCATGATGCTGAAGAAATATAATGAAATAAAAACCTTTCTATTGGACTGTAGATTTCATGCAATACTTTTGCATGAAACGTACAGCCCAGTAAAAATATGTTTGCATATTAAATCACTATCCTCAGAATAAAGCTAATGCATTTTCCTTTTTTATTCCATATATCTGCCTTTATTTTATTTTATTTTATTTTAAACAAGGCTGGAAAACTTTTTATTAAGTTGGCTTAGAGTTTCTTAGTGACATCAAAAAATGCCTCTTAAGTAATCTGTGTGCACGCACACGTCTGCTGTGCCACCCTTAATAGGTGTCTTCCTGTGCTCTTTCAGTGAGGTCGACCTGGCTCTAGCAGATAGTGAACCAAAGGTGGCCTATAGATGGAAGCAAGAGATTGCCTCCTTCCAGTCTATGCTCTCAAATGCCAATTAAAGATCCAATGGTTGTGAGCATACAGTTGTATGACTTTCCAGCCTGTTGCTTTTGGGATATATCTTTGCACAGCAGTGGGCAGAAAATGAAGGATCTCTTTGCAAGGTATTTGTGAGTCCTAATTGCCATCTTTCAATGGCAAGCTTTGCTGGCTAAAGGACCCCCACTAGGAAAACCATAATAGAGGAGACACCAGTGATTGTGCTATGAATGTTTCTGATCTGCGACAGCATCATGGGTATAGGTTTCTGGAGTGATCAGGTTGCAGTGTGGGATAACAGACATACTAAAAGGGTATTTATTGTCTTGGGTCAAGGAAGAGATTTCCAACTGGGGCATTGGTTTTGTGTCAGTTTCACAGGTATTCAGTTATAAAGTCATGTATACATTCTCCCCATCATCCTCAGATTTTTAAAAAACCCACATGAAAGGCTGGGCAAGTATTTTCATATGCAGCTTCTTTAACCTATATAGTTTACACACTCCCCCCCCCGATATTTGCATTTTCTTTTCCCACTGCACACATTTTGATACATGTTTCCCCCTAATGTATGCATTTTGTACACACTTTTCCTGCCAAGAACTACATTGCAAAAATTCAGAGAAAGAGACAGACCAAAAGAATGGTGTTCCAATGCATTTATAAATCCAGGAAGTACAGGCTGGTCCAACTTGCCTAAAAATAAAGCCAAGACAAAATATTTGCCCATACTTCCTGATGACCATTGCTACTGGCCTTTTGGGGGTGGACCATCGGAGGAGATGGAGGAGGGAAGCATGCACTGTAATCAGTGAGTGGGCCGTCATGCTGAGGAAGCAGCAAGAGAAGTGCACTTTGCCCAAGGAATGAGCAAGCATGCAGAGGAGGTAGGACAGGGGGCATGTGCAGGGCCTGAAGAATACTTGTGTGGGCACCATAACACACCATACCAAACTGGGCCAAGTTGCCAAACTGCAATTCATGCCCATCTCTGCTTAGATTCCATTGTTGAATACATTCCAAATTATCAGGTTTTGGTTTTATGGGAAATTCAATTCTTCAAAAAAAATGACTGGTTCCTGAATGTGGGGTATTGTGCTTCTTTACCCATGATTCAGGGAATGGCATAATATTACATCACAATATTATGCCTGCCTTCCCAGCAGGAAAAAGGATGCCAAGCTTTGTCAGAGCAAAGGGCAGCGTGAATGTTGACAACACCAATGACAGCAGTTAAGATGGTGGTCTACAGGATACCATCTTGTGCTCTGTAACATATAGAAAGTGATACCATGCAAGGGAAAATCCCAGGAGTTGACTCCTTTTTTCCATCAGTGAACCATTTCTCAACCAGACAAACTGTAAACAGAAGCTAATCTGCCATGCACATATAATGGAAACACAGATGTGAAAAGTGGGGTGAGACAGTAGATAAAGAGGAAGACCTAACATGAGATGCTGTTGGTTTGCAAGATCTGGGCAGAAGTGTTAATGATAGGACATTTTGGAAGTCAATAGCTCATATAGTAATCACTAGGGGGAGGATTTCTATGATATTTCACATTTTCACTGCAACCTACATTCGAACCCATAAGCAAGTTCAAACATGTTTATGAGTGATCTGGCCTTTCCCACCAAATGACTCATAAACATCTTCAAACCCACTCATGAGCATAAACATAGGTTGCAGAAAAAAATATGAGCTCCACCTATCATCAAACATCAGGCATCTTTGGAGTGTTTTTTTTAAATTACCAAACAATTGTTGAGAATTTGTTAATGTTTCTGGATGTAAGCAGAGTTAGGAAAAATATAGTTGCAATGACACTGTAGCACTTGAGAGAGTAAACATTCAGTAGAGTCTATTTACAAATATACATAAGAACACCATCTTAGATTTCAGACATGAAACACGCAGGATAACATGATACATATACGTAATACATTTACATTCATTACATAGCATTACATTTAATACATTTATAGATTTAAAAAATCTCAACAACAATTGTATAGTGACAAGGCAGGTGGGATGGTTGAAAATACAAAAGGATATAGGTGATGTAGCACTACTAACTTTGAGTAACACTACCCCACGCCACAAAGCAAAAAACAAAACAAGATAGTAATTTTGCAGCTTAAATGAGTGACTTTCTGAATATTTGTTCTCTATTCTTTCTAAAATATCTTTTAAAATATTTTTACAACCTGGAACAGAATCCCCTTTTAACATCTATTTCGCCATGAAGTAGTTAAAAAGTTCTTCTCCTGAAAGTCATTTAATTTGGTCCTAACTGGGAGGGCCAAAAGTTCAGATTTCCCTTCCAGCCTACAAGCTGCAAAACTATTTCTAACTTTCTTTGGAACTTTCCCACTGATAAGGTAGTTTATAGAAAGTCACATTGTTTTTACCCCTTTGAAAAGGATTTTTTTCAGTCAGTATTTCACCCACTGCTGACCTACTGTAGCTATTATTTTTCAAGATTATTTTTTTTTCAATTTATGTGATCTCTTTTAAATCTGCAGACAAAAAAGGGGTGTTAAACAGTTTTACATTTAAAAATTCATAACCTGAATACCATTTGCCTAAATAGCCACAAATCTGGCACAGAGCAAGAACAGACTGTCTGCTATATCTGTGCCAAACTGGACACTGATCTAAGGTCCATTTTCAAGGTTATAATATTTTGTTTGGGATACCCAACTTTTAGACTTGCCTTGAAAGTTGACTTGCTCTGCTGCACAATATCTATTGCTGCACTGCTGTGCAGCAATAATTACATTGTCATGTGTGGTTTTATATTATGCCACACTATTTCATTTTATGCTTATCAGTTAGAAATGCAAAGATGATTGTAGGATCAAATCATATCAGCCTCTAGTTGTCTTGAGCTGTTTTTTTTTCCTTCTTGCTTTAATGGCAATCAGCCAGCAAAATATTCATTAGAGATTTCCATCTGCCTATTTTGTACTGCCATCCATGTCTTGTTTATTTTTTTCTTTCTTTCTTTCTTTCTTTCTTTCTTTCTTTCTTTCTTTCTTTCTTTCTTTCTTTCTTCACATCTATGCTCTTCTAAAATCATCACATCACAGCAACAGAAGCTATTATGGCGGCCTGCTCGACAGCGCTGTGTCCCAATGTTTCAGTATTACTCCATGAGCAAAGAAGCTGATGCTCTGTGACCTTCTTCCACTCCTGCCACAATTGCTCGTATGTGTTCAAATTAAGCCTGTAATTATCTGTCAGTTATCTGGAAGATACACACACATATTTTCCCAGCAGTGGCTGAAGCGCCAGCTTCTTGTTCATTCATTTGTGGAAAGGAGCAGTTGAGCAAACTTCCTCAGCTACTGATGGACTGTGACCTTCATCCAGTCCAGCTACAATTGCTCAAAGGCATTCATATTAAGCCTGCAATTATGTGGCAGTTACACAAAACAGAAAATCCATTTTCTCATCACCATCACCTAAATAAGCATTCTTCTCTTTCTTCATTAGTAGAAAGGTTGGTTTATTTATTATTTTATTTATTTATTTTATTTATATCCCGCCTATCTAGCCAGCTCAGGACCACTCTAGGCGGCTAACAATCATCAAATAATAAGAATATACATATGTAAAACAGCATAAATAATAAAAAAAAACTTTACAAAAAAAACCAAGTGGAGAGGAAAGGAAAAGGAACATCAGGGATTATCTTGAGGAAAGGCCTGCCGAAACAACCATGTCTTTAATTGATTCTTAAAGATACCCAGCGAGGGAGCCCCGCGAATCCCAGGAGGTAGGTTGTTCCAGAGGCGAGGAGCCACCGCTGAGAAGGCCCGATTTCTTGTCTTCTCCTTCTGGGCGTCCCTCGGCGTTAGGCTCCTCAGCCTCACCTCCTGGCTCGCACGAGTGACATGGGTAGAACTTGGTGGGAGTAGGCGTTCCGCCAGATATTGAGGCCCTAGACCGTTTAGGGCTTTATACGTAAGCGTCAACACTTTGTAGTCGATGCGGAAACGGATGGGCAGCCAATGCAATGCGGCCAGAGTGGGCGAGATATGTTGGAATTTTCTCACTCCACTGAGTAATCTGGCCACTGCATTCTGCACCACCTGTAGTTTCCACAGCAGCCTCAAAGAAAGCCCCACGTAGAGCGCATTACAGTGGTCTAGTCTTGAGATTACGAGTGCATGCACCAAGGTATTGAGCGCCCCCACATCAAGGTAGGGCCGCAGCTGGGCTATCCGCCTGAGATGAAAAAAGGCGGAGTGGACCACCGACGCCACCTGAGATTCCATGGTGAGCGCCGGGTCCAGATGGATCCCCAAGCTGCGGACCCCATCCTTGGCAGGCAGAGTCACCCCCCCAAAAGAGAGGGAGCTACCCAAATCCCCACCCTCAGTACCTCCGTCTTGTCCGGGTTCAGCCTCAACCCGTTCTCCTGCATCCATTGCAGTACAGTCCCCAGGCAGCGACCGAGCTCCACACCCCCTGATGACCCCACCCAGTGGCCTCAGGTAGATGTTAAATAGCATTGGGGAGATAATCGACCCCTGTGGAACCCCACAATTGAGGCTCCATGGGGCCAAGACGCTCTCACCAAGCTGCACTGTCTGGGGACGGTCCTCCAAAAAGGAACAGAACCAGGCCAATGCCAGACCACCTATTCCCAACTCGGAGAGCCTCCCCAGGAGGATACCGTGGTCAATGGTATCAAAGGCCGCTGAGATGTCAAGGAGAACCAAAAGAGACACTTTGCCCCTGTCGGCCTCCCTAAGTAGGTCATCGCACAGGGCGACCAATGCCGTTTCTGTACCATGGCGCGGCCTGAAGCCTGACTGAAATGGATCCAGGGCATCTGTTTCATCCAGGAGCGCTTGAAGCTAATCGGCCACCACCCTCTCGACCACCTTGCTTAAGAAAGAAACGTTGGCGACAGGTCTATATTTGCCAATTTCATCCACCGCCAAACTAGGTTTCTTCCTAATGGGCCTAATGATCATGTCCTTCAGGGCAGATGGGAATCTGCCCTCAAGGAGAGACCCATTAATTATTACCGTGGCCCATTCCATTGTTAAAGGCCTGGCTGATTTGATTAGCCAGGCCGGGCAAGGGTCCAAAGAGGAGGTGGTGGCACGGCAGCGATCAATCAGATGATTTTCTACGATGGTTGATATTTGCTCCTTGTGAGCCCATAGTGGGGATTTGTCCATGGCATGTGTGTGGCTTGTGACAAAATTAGGAGTGTGTCCACATTCATTGTGGTGTGGATAGGGTGACAGACTAGGACTCAGGAGGAGGCTTGGTTTTAAATTTCTGTTCACTCTGGCATGCGTGCAACTGCTAAAACCACTCCTTAAAATCTCACATTAAATACCCTATCAAGGTCTCTATAAGTTGGCTCCAACTTGATGGAATATGACACGCACACACATGGGATGAGCCATAGGGCTAGTTCTACAAATCAGATCAGATTTCCAGAGCCGTGGGCCGTCCAGAACTGGGTTGGACTAGATCTGTTTGAAACGATAGAAGCTGTAGTCTGACTCACTTGGAGGGTCCCAAGTTACATTTCCATGACCTATCAGTCAGAGATCAGACAGGTCACTTTTTGGACTTTTCATATCCCTCAACCTGGTCAATATTTTGGGACTTATAGTTAACTTCCCCAGCTTCCTGGTGTCTACAATTCTGCGCTACATCAATCAATGGCCTTATTCAGTAAAAGTTCCTATATTTCAGCTGTCCAAAATGAAGACATCTGCCTAAATCCAATTGTTAGACTAATCTGTAGAGCAGTGGTTCCCAACTTTGGGCAACCCAGGTGTTCTTGGACTGCAACTCCCAGAAGCCTTCACCACTAGATGTGCTGGATGGGTTTCTGGGAGTTGCAGTCCAAGGGCTCCAGAGTTACACAAGGTTGGGAACCATTACTCTAGAGCAGACATGCTGAATTAATGGGACTCACATAACTGTTGCATTTACCCTTGTTTCAGTTGGGCAACTCTGTCCGGCACCAGGAGAATAGATTTATTTATTTATTTATTTATTTTATTTATTTATTCAATTTATATGCCGCCCACACTACCCACAATCTACCGTTGCAGCATTTCGACAAAGGAATGCTATGTTATTGCTATTTGCATTATAATTTAGTGTTACTGAATTTGGTTTTTAACTGCCTGTAAACCACCCACAATAGTGCTTCCACACTAATGGGGCAGCATATAACTTAAAGTAAAAAACAAACAAACAATACCTAGTTCTTCTGAGGTGTTAAACATGTATCTATATTCTACCACTGGAGAATTTAAGTAAGGATTCACATGATGCTCTTCAATCTCCTTCCTTCCTTGCTCTGGTCTTAATTTCTTTCCTATAGAAAGGGTAGCAATAGTAGGTTTCTTGCTGCCATCCTAGTTCAGCTTTTATTGGAGTTATCAGAAATAACGGTTACATCTTCATACCTTGCTATAGATACAGATCTAAACCACAGACCATATTACAATGAAACTTGGTTTCACTGGAAACCTTCTATAAATGGTCCGTCTCTGCCCCCACCCCCCCGGTTTCATACCAGTCCAGGCCCCTTCTGGGATTCTTTAACTGGAGAATGACTACTGTAACCACCGTAGAGAAAGTCTTTGTTGCACTGAGGTGAGCAGAGGGCACCTGGTCCTTTTAAATGAACATTTCCCCTCAGGTTCCCAACACCTGCTGACAGGTTTAATTTAGAAATATCTGAATTACTTGCTGCTTTTTCTTCTCTGCTTTGCCAAAGCCATTTTCTAATATATTCCCCATTTCTCCCAATTTCTCTCTTTTCCACATGGAATGAACCATTCACCACGGAACTGAAGTCAATAGATGAACCACAAGGAAAAAAACAACAACAGTAGTAGCAGTATAAACCTATTATTTAAAAATAGCAATGCTTTGGGCTGATACTTGATGCATTGAAACTGGGCATGGCTAGCATTTTATGCACATGTGTACTCAAGCAACAGACACACAGAGAACAGCATCTATTTCTGACCACTTAGCAGCTCTCTTTCCCCACCTCCAGTTTGCAACACACTGTTTTGAGAAAAATCTGTGATTATTGTTAAATTGGCATGTGTATCAGAAGTGCCTGGTCAAGGGACACATCTCTCAGCTTGTATATGTATGTGTGACTTCTATTCAGAAAATGGGCATTGTTATTATTAAGCATAAGGCATAAAAAATGTAATAGCAACAAATGCCATTCCAAGATATTACATTCTTGAAATTTAATCAAGGATCTTTTCAAGAGCAGACCTTTAAATCTCACTGAAAATCTTGTTCTATCTATAAAGAGATCACTCCTCTGTGCCCCCAATGAGAACCGACTCTCCAGATATCCAAGGCTTTATTACAGAGATCAGTTCTGAACTCATCAAGTTAATAGTAACAACAAAAGTCCTGACATTGAAATTGAAAGCCTTTGAAAATGATCAGCTCCTTGCTGAAGTACGTAAAAATAATGGCTATAAAAAGGGCTTTAGATTTTTGAAGGATCTTTACTGGATCCTTAGCTGAGAATTCTTAGCAGTGACACTAATACATCATAATTAACTGCTTTTCCTTCTGAACCTCTCAGCGTCATCCATGCTATTTACTCAAAGAAAGGAAGGAAGAGGAGCACTGGACTGGTAAAAAATAGACACATTCAGTGACCTCTTTGTTTCAGAACAGTCACTGTCTAGGGCTGTTCCTACCATTAGGCAGTGAGAGGCTGCTGCTTCAACTAGCAGATGCAAGGGGGCATGGAGATGTAGTGACATACTGGCAGGCAGAGCTGGAGTTGATTGATTCTTGTGCCAAGCACATCATTGGTGTCAGTTCCATGAGAAACACATATTTGTACACTATCAGTCCTTGCCATGGTGCGGCTTCATTTAACCACATTGATACAACACAGAGATATTGTATACTGACTGAAAAAAATGATTCTTATATGGAAGATATTAGATTGAAAAAAAAATACCTTCAAAGGTACCTATGATTGTAATGGTTGCAAAATGCCCTTCCTTTTGAATCCTGTACATTTAATCCGTGGCTCTGGCAAATAGCTGGCTCATCCATAATTTCCCAGAACCGAACCTGAAAGCCTTCAGATCAGCCCACCTATTTGACATGGTGGGGAAGGATACTTTTAGCAGGAGAGAGAGTGATATGCAAGAGATTTAGTACTAGGAGGCATGTGTCAAAAGTGAAATCTTTCATGCCTCAAGCAAGTTGCTTTCTTTCTCTGTGACTTCTTTTGAATGGGGGTCATTAAGGCAAGGCAGTGCGTTCGTGTGCTGCGAACTGTCATGGTTTCACTTGCAAGCGAGAGGTAGGAAAGAATAATAAATCAGGAGTTGAAGGTCTGTCACAGCCCTTGCTAGACAGTGGTAAACAACCTCATCAGAAGTCTCGCAGGAAATGCACTGACTTTTGCAATGGCCAGGGAATGAAAAATTATCCAATCACATACTACCCTATACTTGATCTCACAAAAAGGCTATGAAATTAATTGAATACCAAAGCTATTATGTATGAAGGAACAATGTATTTTCTTTATGTGTATGGCATAACATATTTAATAAAAATGCTATTTCTTATTGTTAGTACTGGCTGTTGATTGCTCCTTTATATGGAATCTGTACCACAGACATGACAGTCCTTCAAATGAGGGGTTGCCAGATGTTGCTTAATTCTAGCTCCAATCAATCCTTGACAGCATAGCTTGTGATCAGAGGTTTTAGGAGGAGCCATGCAACAACATCTGAAGGCTGATGTGTTCCCACTTCTGGCCTCCAAGATTGCCATATGTTCTTATGGAGAGAATTGAAGGATTTCATTTAGGGAATAGGCCTGCTGTGCCATCAAAACCTTTTCTCCTGACTTGTTTTTTTTTAAAAAAAGTTAAATTTCTTGTTCTTTAAAATATTCAACAAAACTTTGACCTGAGCCTAGTCATTCCTCTCCAATGTTTTCCCACCCTACCCTCCTTGATAGCCTGATACACCCATAACTATTTCTATACCGACCATGCTCACAGGCCTTAGAAGAGCAGATATGACAAAACATGTCACAGATAAGGAGAGGGAAGGATGGGTGGCTAAAGGTGGTGGGGTACAAAGAAGGTGACACCGGCCCAGTACCGCTCACCATTTCCTATCTATCGAGATCAATCACCAAATAAATCAAGGAAATGGTCCCTGTATTTTGATAGTTTTTCCTCTGCCCTTCCTATTGTATACCATTTTTCTTTTCTGATCAGATCCATGAAGTCTTCTGTCAAATGTTCAATCTATAGTGTAGTAGGGAACTTCCAATTTTGTACATTTGGCATTTCGCTACTGAGGCTGCCATTCGGATCCATAGGATTTATGCACATTTCCAATATAACTCAATGAATTCTGGACAGCTCAGTGGTTTAAGTATCTGGCTGTGGAGCCAGAGGTTGGGACTTCAGTTCCCCACTGTGCCTCCTTGACAGTGGCTGGACTCAGTGGTGCATAGGTTCCCTTCCAGTTCTGCAGTTCTAAGATATTTTACTTGCAGGTATCCTAGCAGCAGCTTATCTATTGAGAAATCCATAACTATTTCAAATGCAAAGATAATACAATTCATTGTTTCTTGACAAAAGGAGACAATTATTGTGCACAGGCACAATAAGCAGGATAAAGTCCCTCCCTGTCAGATCATCGACAGGAATGGTTACATCCCTGCATGTCTAGTTGATAGAATCTATTTGGCTTTTGGCACTGAATGTTGGGTTCTTGCTGAGAAACCTGCAGCCAAAAATATGACAGTTGGGCCAAATATACTTTATTGCTATGATGCATGGCATCCGAAGTGCACAGTAGCCAAACCAAGGTAAGTTATTTTGGCACATGAGATAAAGTAACCCATAAACACTTCTCCCTATCCCTGGTATAAAACTAGAATGAATACCATCAACAAACACTTTATTGCCTTATAATGACACCCAGTCTTCTTTTACCTAACGGTGGTGCTGGCTCTGTAGGATGTAGTTTAGCTTCATACATAGAAATCAGTGGATCTTGTAATATCCATTCTTCTTGTCACCAAATACCCCCTCCTTCATATTAACAGGCATGAACTAATGAACTAATTTTGCATTCCAAGATCGATGTACCAATATGTTTGTTCTTGTAATCGTTTATCCTTTGAATTAATTGAAATAGTTTGCATTGGAGCAAAATCCTATGCCTGAAAACAGAAATAAATAGCTTCTTGTACAAGCCACTATGGAGCTTACTTGTACTAACTCTGTTTAGGACTGCAGCCCAAGTGCAATTAAATTGAAAGGCCAGCATAAAACTGTAACAATTAATTATTTAGAGGCACAGCATTTGTGATTGCAAACAGGGCCCATTTAAAGGGGGCTGGGTGGAATGCACATACTTAAAATCTGTTCAGCAGCTCAAAGAATGGTGAACTGAGGTCTAAGCTTGATAATACATTTCCACTGATGATATGTTACTTGGCTGAAAAGAATAAAAAGCAAAACAAACAAGGCAAATTGGAATAAAACACAAGCCAAGGGTCAGGGCATGGACTCACCTCCCTCTCCACGCAGGAATTGGAGGTTGCTCATGAATTTGTGTACCTTGGCTCAACAATCTCTGACACTCTCTCCCTAGATGTCAAGCTGGA